CGCCGCCCCAGGGGGGGGCGGCCAGCGGGCTCGCCGCCATGTTGGGAGTGGCCAAGCAGGTCACCCTTAAAGGGCCCGCACGGCCTGAGTCCAGGGAGAGACCCCGTTACCATGACAACACCCTTGTCGTCCCACCCCCCCAATGGCTCCTCATCACCCCACTGGTACTTCCAATGGTAGACTCGCTAAAAGCTCTAAAAGAGTGGGAAGGGGGCAGAGAAGTTCCCCCACGGGTCATTGATGGGTCATTGATAGGTCATTGAAGACTCCACCCAGCCAATTTTTAACCTTTTGTCCCCTGCCCCCCATCAGCTACCTTTCAACCGCAAGCTCACTCCCTCCTTCCCAATCATCCACACTGGACTTGCCCACACCTCCATGCCCCTAGAGTTGCCCTAGGTCTTCAGTCCTAAGTCACCTTCTCCACCCAGTTCCCAGGATCACAGCTTCCAGGACTACCCCATCAGACACACATCATGGCCTGTTGTCTTGTCTTATCCACCATGTATCCAGATATCTAACCACCTAGCCATCTCACCCACTTGCTCAATCTATCAATCACTCATCTACCTATCCAATCAACTAATCACCTATCCACCCACCCCTCCAACCATCTATTAATTCACCCAAACACCCACTCAACACACCCATTCACTTCCCATCTACCCACCCATTCATCCAGCACCCAAGCAAATACTCATTTATCCACATAACCAAGCAAGTACCCAACCATCCCCACACACAACTTTCCGCCCAGCCCCCTAAACATCCATCCACCAGTTTGCCTGTTGATTTCGCCCCTCCACTAGCATGTAAGTTCCATGAGGCCAGGAGTCCTATCTAGTTCATTATTATTTCTGCACTGCCCAGTTCTCAGGAGTCTCAGGCATATGACATATATAATCACAACATTCAAAAAAATTTTTTCTTACTATGAACCAGGCCTTTTCTAGGCAGACATACCCAACCTGGTTAACCAACTACCCAACTACTCACCTACTAGGTCAAACATCCAGCAAATGCTAACCTATCCGTCTGCCATTTGCTCCACCCACTCTACCCCTCACCCATCCACTCACCCATGTTTTGAATGACTCGTTTACCCAATCATTCATACACAGTATGAATTTATCTGTCTCCCAGACCCATGGCCTCCATGACATGAAGAGGGCCTGAGAAGATGCTCTCACTGTGGGATTGGGAGGTTGCCAGGGTTGGAATTCATGCTTCATTGAGAAGCAGGTGCTGCCTATGACAATGGTGAATACCTTTTATCGAATGCCTTTATGTGTAGGTAACTTTACGTCCATTTCACAGAGAAGAAAACGGGCTTTTAAGAGAATGAAGGTCTAAGGTAACACAGTGGTGAGAGCTTATGTATATGGCCCTCTCCATGAGACTTCTAATTAGGGGAGAATTTGGGAGAGACGAATAGGGCTTGCGGGGGGGGGCAAATGCCTTAGAACTGGCAATTCTTAGTGGGCAAAGAAACCAGCAATTTTACTGAAATCAAGATTTTACTGGGCAACTTCACACTGCCAGAGTGGTTGGGACCAGCAGCTCCACTCCCCATTGTAGGCCAAGTAGGGCTAAGGCAAGGTCAGACACCCCCCTCGCCAAGACGGCTATCTCTCTGCTCCCAGACCACGTGTGGTGAGGCAGGATGGGCAGCTCAGGTGGTGTCTCCATTGAGGCAGGGTGCTTTGAGGGGCTGGGGTTGACTCCGAGACCCCCGCGTCCTTGGAGAAAGCTGCAGGCTCTGGACAGCATCCCTCAGCTGAGCCTGAGTTCTCTCCATCTCATTTAGGCGGTGTTCCTGGGGAAGCAGTGGCGATGGGGCTCAGAAACCAGGAGAGGGCTGCACCCCAACCCTCGCTCCTCCACCGCCCAGACCTGTCCCAGGGCTCAGACGGCAGTCTCACCAGGCTTTTCAGACTGTGCCCTTCATAGATTGGAAGGTTGTGCTTTGAATCAAACTCTGAGCTCCTGTGGGGGTCGGGGGATGGGGGCGAAGGTCAGAGGCTAAGGAGTCCCTTCCAGCTCCTGGTTGAAGTGGCAGGGATTCAGGGGGGCGGAGCTTGGAGTGGAGGCGGAGCTTGTTCAGACTGAAGGGCGGGGCCTAAATATGCTTGAAGAAGGGTCGGACCAGAGACTGGAATAGTTGGAATGATAGGACCTATCAATCATCCCTTGGAGGCGGGGCTTGGCCCGTCCTGAGTGGGGTCGTAACTGGGCTTGAGGGAGTGCCAAGGCTGAGATATCTCAGTGCCCGGCCCAGCCAGATTGGGAGGGGCTGATGGAGGGGTGGGGCCTGGATGAGAGAATCTGCCAGCGTCCTAGGCCGACCTTCGAGGGGGTGGGTCCACCTGGGGGCGGGGCTCGCCAAGAGGGGCCCGGACAGATTTTTATTAGGGCGGGGCCAGCGTGGGGCTTGGTCGTGCCAGGCGTGGTTTGGGGAGGGTCTGGTCAGATCTAATTGGATCGGGCCCACCTGGGGGCGGAGCTAATGGAGAGGGCTGGGCTCACCCAGCACAGAGCCTGGAGTCCAGATCCTGCAGCTGGCCTCGCAGCTGCTCCTGCTGCTCCGTCAAGGCCCGGATGTGGGTGCTCAGCGACTCCACGAGGCGGGACAGCACTTTCTGCTCCTCACGCAGAGCGGCCACCTCGCACTGCAGCTCTGCCAACTGTGGTGGGAGAGCAGCTGTAATCTGACCCGTCGTCCCGCCCCTGTCTCTCCCTGGAGACCCTGACCTTCCAGGCCCAAGCGTTCAGCGTCATCACCGGCCTGCCTAGTTGGGGAACATCCCTCCTGCCGTACAGCTGGAGAGACTGAAGCTCAGAGAGGGTCGGGTTAGGCCCGTGGTCACACAGCGCAGCGAGCTGGGTACTTGAACCCAGGCTTACCTGGCCCTTCAGTCTTCCCCAGTCGCGTCCCCGTCCCCACTCCCCAGGCGGGGACCTGGGCCTGACCTTACCTTGTTCACAGGTCGGTGCTTGCCCAGTGCCTGATTTCGGTCTTGCGGCTGGTCTATTTGGCGCTGCCAGGGTACCGACGGCTTCCGAGGCAGCGAGGCGGAGTCCCGGGTCCAAGGCCGGGCGCGGGGCGCCGGGCCCGTGCTCAGGGAGCCTTTGGGTCGCGGCCAGGGCCCCGCAGATTGGCGGCGGCGGGCAGGACGCCGGGTTGGGACACTCTGCGTGCGCTGCACCGGCCGGGGCCGCCGCAGGGGCCGCTCTTCGTCCGGCTGTGGCCGGGCCCAACTCTCTGAGCGGCGAACGCTGCGCAGAGACTGGCTCTTGGAGATGAGAGGGGTGTGCTTGGGGAGGTCCCGGGGGGGCAGGAAGCCGGGCTTCTCCCCTGCGGAAAGGCTAGGGGTGGGATGGAGGATCTCAGACCCTCTACTGGCCCCTGAGACGACTCCATCCCGACCTGACCAGAAGCGACCTCACCCCCAGGTGAACTTGTCCTTTTTTTTTTTTTTTTTTTTTAAGACAAGGTCTTGCTCTGTCACCCAGGCTGGAGTGCAGTGGCTCGATCATAACTCACTGCAGACTTGAATTCCGGAGCTCAAGCTATTCTCCAGCCTCAGCCTCCCAAATAACTAGGACTGCCAGCGCATGCCACTACACCCAGGTATTTTTTTTTTTTTTTTGGTAGAGATGGGGGTCTCCCTATGTTGCCCAGGTTTGTCTTAAGTTCTTGGCCTCAAGTGATCCTCCTGCCTCAGCCTCCCAAAGTGCTGGGATTACAGGCATGAGCCACTGAGCCTGGCTCCTGTCCTTGACTTCTAACAGTGTCCTCTCTATGACCCTTGACATCACTCCACCCTAACCTCTCCTCTCATCCCTGACCTCAAACACACTGTGACCTTTGACCTGACCCTTTCTATAACCTGTGATTCCAGTCTGACCCTGGGCTTGACCTCTGCTCACAATGATCCATCTTCACCTGTGACCCCTGTCTGAGCCCTGCTCCTTCCTGTTCCCACCCATCAGACCCCAGACCAGACTTGAGGTTACCTGGAGTGGATCTGGGCCGGGGGCGGTGGGAGACGCATTGGCACTGATACAAGCACAGGCTGGCCCTCCTCGATGGCTTGCAGAATGGTGGGCAGCGGTTCCAGGGAGTCTCGGGTTGTCTGGTGAGGCATGCAGGACAGAGACTGAGCAAAGTCTATGAGGTCAGAGTCTCCCAAGCCTTCTTGCCTCCCTATTCTGAGTTCAGGCCATACCTGGTCAAGCTCAGCAAAGATTGTACAGAGCTGGGCATGCAGGACAGCCAACTGGAGGGCCAGGTCACTGCTACCCTGGTAACCACTGGGTGCAGCATCCACATCCACCATGGCCACCTGGTCCAGGAAGCGTTGCATGGCTGGTCCATGTTCCTCCAGGAAGCTATTCATGAAGCCCATGTAGGCCTCCTTCTCACCGAACCTGGATCAGGGCCAGGCTGGGTGGGTCAGGTCAGGCACCTGCCACCCCCACACTCCCAGCATGATCCCCCCCCCACCCCTAGCTTCCCAGCACCTACGGGGCACGATTGGCGAGGTTCTGGATGACCTTGGCAATCAGTGTGAGGGTGCGGGCTGGGCCGGGTGCTGGATGCTCTGGTGCTAAACCAAAGAGGCTGGGTGCCAGGATGGCGGGGCACAGGAGCCGCAGGAAGAGGGAGGCGCACACCAGTCGGGGGCCCAGCACCTCAGAGCCACGTTCTTTGCATGCTTCTCGCCAGCTTGAGAACACGATGCCCAGCTCCGCAGGGAACCAGCTGGTGCAGAAGAGGCAATGAATGGTCAGACGGGGAGGCTATGGGCATAAAGGTTAAAGTCATAAGGTTGGGAGTCCCAGAAGCATTGCATGACTGGTCCATGATCCTCCAGAAAGCTATTCATGAAGGCCATGTAGGCCTCCTTTTCAATGAACCTGGGGTCTGGACTCCAGAATTGGGAATATCTGAGATAACAATGCTTGGGGTTATGAGTCAGCATGGGGCCATGGCTTATGTGTAGCTATGGCAATCGCTGGGGATAATACTCTTATAGTTGGGGATACAAGGTCACATGAAGACAGAGGTTATGAGCTTGGATATACTTATAATTAGACATGAGATTGGGGAGCCAGAGTACAAGATATAAAGTAGGATTGGGGTCTGGAAGTCACCTAGGGTCAGAAGTCACTTGATTGAAGTCAGGGATTAGGTATGCAGGTTAACCTAGGGTCAGAGGTCAAGGGATTGGAATGCCAGGTCTCCTGTGATCAGTTGCATGGGATTTGAGGTGGAGGGTCACTTAAAGCCAGGGATCATGGACTTGGGGCATTATCTGGAAGCAGAGGTCATAGGATTGAGATCCTATGCTAACTGGAGCCAGTGGCATGGAACTGGGTGTATGGAATCACCTGTGGTTACAGGACAAGGAATTGGGTCTCGGGTTACTTGGGGTCAGTGGTGATAGGGTTGCATGGTGACAGGGTTGCCAGATGTAGTAAATGAAACTTCAGGACATCCAGTTAAACATGAATGTCAGATAATGGAGTGATTTTTATTTACATTTTTCCTTTTATTTGGGACAGGGTCTCACTCTGTCAACCAGGCTGGAGTGCTGTGGCATGATCATAGCTCACTGCAGCCTTGAATCCTGGGCTCAAGCGATCCTCCAGCCTCGGCTGGGAATACAGGTGCATGCCACCATGCCTAGCTCATTTTAAAAAAGCTTTTTGGAGCAATGGAGTCTTGCTATGTTGCCCAGACTGGTCTTGAACGCCTGCGCCTGGGCTCAAGCAATCCTCTTGTCTCCGCCTCCCAAAGCATTGGAATTACGGGCGTGAGCCACCATGCCTGGCTCAAATGAGTAACTTTTTAGTATAAGCATGGTCCCAATAATTGCATCAAATTTAACTGAGTGTCTCCTGTATTTTATCTGGCAACCCTAAACTGGGGGTTGGGGCTAGCATGGTAAGCGGGGGTGGACTAAGGGGCTGGGGCCCTGATTCTCACTCGTAGGAATGGATAATGGTTTCGAAGACCTCCTCGCAGCTGTTCCGAAGTCTGGCCTGGTGCTCTGGCAGCTCCGGGGCTGGACACTTGCTGGGGTCCACTTCACAGTCCTCAGTGGAAGCACAGAGACGCCGCACAACCTGTCCTGCAGCCCAGCACAGCCAGATAGGGGCTGGGACCATGACCACCAAAACCCGCCACACCCATCCTCCAACCTTGTCTTCAGGTTATTCCGGAGGCACCCAACATCTTGGGGAGCTCCCAATTGTCCCCAGGATCCTAGCACCTCCAAAACACCACTCACTACCAGAATCCAGGTTGCTCAAGGACTCTTAGAACTTCACCCAGGTCCCCTAGCTCACCAGCAGGCCACTGACACGGACTCTTCCCCCAGCTCACCCAGGGTCTCCTGGAGGTAATCCTGTGCCACGAGCTTCATGTACTCATCGATAGCCTTGGTGGCCAATGTGTTTTCCCGGAACAGCAGCGCCTCACGGCCTCCACAGCGCGCCAGCTCCGCTGTGCCCAGGTCAGTCACCAGCGCCTAGGAAGGGCAGGGGGTCAGGTTGCACCGGATGCAGACTGAGTCCAAGGGAATTCGGATACTTGGCTCGTCCTTCACACCAGAGGCACAGGCCCCGCCCCTCGTAGCTGATGCTTAGGCCCAGTCCTTACTGCTGGGGTTCATAACCGAGGCCAGAACTTCTAACCCTCACAGCAAAAATTTAAACCTTTTAGCGCTGGGGTTCAACCTGGGCCCCGCCCCTCATGCGTAATGCTCAGGCCCCTCTCGCAGCTGAAGCTTAGGCTCCGCCCTTCAAGGTGTCTCGCCCGTTATGAATGATAATTAGGCCCCGCCCCTCACAGCTGAAGCTCAGGCCCAGTCCTTCAAAGTGCCCCGCCCCTTACAAGTACAGCTCAGCCCCCCGCCCCTCACAGCTGACGCTCAGGTCCCGCCCTTCAAGGTGCCCCACCCCTTACGGGTGATGTTCAGGCCCCGCCCTTCTAGGTGCCCCGCCCCTTACAGGTGACACTTGAACCACGCCCCTCACAGCTGATGCTCAGGCCCTGCCCTTCAAGGTGTCTTGCCTCTTACAGGTGCAACTCAGGTCCTGCGCCCCAATTACCGCCCGAAGCGCGTTATCGGTCTACCCCTGGTCGCCCGGGTCCGCGCTGTCGCGGTGCCGCACCTGTGCCCGGCCAGTGGCC